CTCCAAAATACGGCAGAAATGTACGATTTTTGCAAAATGTTTCGCTAAAGTTCACAAAAACACTCAATTCGACTGAAAAACACGTTTGTTTTTTTTGCAAAAATAAGCTTATTTCAGTTTTAAAAACGCTGCAAAAAAGCTAAAACACAATGTTCTCAGCAAAATAGTTCAAGAGTCTGTGGGAAAACACAAAAACCAAGCTTAAACCCAGTGTAAATTGATAAAAAGGCCCGAATTGCGCATTTTGGCAGTTATTTTGGCAAAAAATGGTAAATTTTGATTTCAAGCAAACTTTCAAGTAGTTGAAATTAGGAGATCCTCGCAGCTAAGAACACTACTGAAACGAGTAGTTGTAAATAGGACCTGAAAAAAATTTTTTCAGGCCCGTACGGGATTTGAACCCATGACCTCTGCGATACCGGTGCACCGCTCTACCAATTGAGCTAACAAGCCAACTGGGAGCTGGTCAATGAATTGAATTTTCTTAGCTGCAAAGATCTCCTAGTTTCATCTTTCTACCGCAGTGCAAATATGTGAATTTTCATATATCTAAAAATCTTCATTCACTTGGATGTCTGTTATTTGGACCCAATTCATCATGTGAATTTTCATATATCTAAAAATCTTCATTCACTTGGATGTTTATTTGGACCCAATTCATTGACCAGCTCCCAGTTGGCTTGTTAGCTCAATTGGTAGAGCGCTGCACCGGTATCGCAGAGGTCATGGGTTCAAATCCCGTACAGGCCTGAAATTTTTTTCAGGTCCTATTTACAACTACTCGTTTCAGTAGTGTTCTTAGCTGCGAGGATCTCCTAATTTCATCTTTCTACCGCAGTGTAAATATTTGAATTTTAATATATCTAAAATCTTCTTTCAAGTAGTTGTTAAAGTTTAGAGCCAAACACAATACCAAAAAAAAAATTGGATGTTTTCAGAAAAAATTGTAACCCTCAGCCTAATCATAATCCCACCCTACCCAAGCCCTAACTCTAACTCTAGCTGCGAGCTATCCTAACCCTAACCCTAGCCCCGGGTTAGGGTTAGGGTTAAGAACGGAACTTTTCACTCCAGTCAAAATGATACAACTGGTTAACATGGTCCAACCAGCCAAAACAAGATAAAATGGTTTAAACGGTGAAAAGATTTTAATTACGTGACATGGTCCAATTGGAAGAAATGATCTCACTTAATAAAATGGTGCAACTGGTTAACATGATCCAACTTGTTAAAATGATGCCAATATCTGAAATGGACAAACTGGTTTAAATGATCCAACCAGTTGAAATGGTCTAACTGGATAATGCATGTGTAACCAGTGAAATTGGTTCACATAATTCAAGTAATCAACCTGGTAAGGATGGTAACATTAGTTAAAAAGATCCAGCATATTACAATGGTTCAACTGGTAAAAATAATCATCCAACTACTAAAAGTTATTGAACACCAATCAAAATTAATCCAACCGCTTCAAATAATCCAACTGGTCAAAATTCTTCAAGTGGTTATTTAAGTGAAAAAGGTGACAAAATCTTCTTAAAAATATTTTTGAAGAGGCTTACACCCTTACCCTAAACACTAACCCTACCCCCAAACCTTCACCCTAGCCCTAACCTCAACCGCAGACCCTCTAACCCTAACACTAAGCCCAAACCCTAACCGTAACTCTAATCCCAAACCCTAGCCCCACACCATAACCCTAAAACCTAACCCTAAACCCTAAACCCTAACCTATAGCCCTTAACCTAGACCTAACCCTACCCTAACCCAAACCTTCTCTATCTATCCTGTAAGTGTACCAGTCGGCCTATCGTTTGTTTTTCAGTAAACTTTCAAATAGTTACTGAAATTTACAAACACAATACCAAAAACCCTGCAATTGAATGCTTGTAGAAAGATATTAACGCCAACCCTAAGCATAACCTCACCCTAGCTGTGTAAAAACAGTAAAATCAACGAATTATTGAGGTTCGTCAAAATAGGGAGGATCCTCTTAGTCTAGAGAAAAACTAAAGGCGTTAAATTAATAAATTGATATATCTGGGCGGCATATCAAACAGCAACACTAAACTTCTCCTTTCTCACAGCTTTTTCCCCTTTAACATCTTTGTTCATTCCATTTTTTTAAAAGTAAAAACTCGTTTTGGAGGCATAAAGGTCTCTAAAGCAACGTTTCAAGATTTTATGGCGATCTTGTGAAAAACATGTAGTTCCAGCTAGTTTTGAGGGTTTTGGCAGCTATTTACACAAAAAGTGGGTAAAATCAGCCCAATTTGTTGTGTTTCTGACGGTTTTTACGCGTTTTTCCCCCATATTCTACTGAGAACACTGCGTTTTAGCTGGAATAAGTGTTTTCACATGGATTGTATCCCTATTTTGTTAAAGACATCGTATTTTTGAATGTAAAATAGGCTGATTTTTGCAAAAAAAAAAAAAAAAAACGTGTTTTTCAGTTCGAATTGAGCGCTTTTGTCAACTTTTGCGTAAAATTTGGCAAAAACTCGTGCGTTCTGCCGGATTTTGGTGTTTTTAGATAGATTTCATTGCAATTTTACGAAATACATGTAGTTTCAGCTAGTTTGCAGCGTTTTGGGCTCGAGACCGGCAAGAGTGATGGTAGACACTCTTAGCAGAGATAATTGTGCTAGCAGATATTAAGATTTCACCTGTAAAGTCAATAAATTAATTGAACACAAGAAAAAGGAAACTTGATAAAAAAAATTAGAATAATGGCGGGGAGAAAAGAGGGCTGCACTAAAGATTATGTACTTGTGTTCTTGAAGCTGAAAATTAACAAGGTTCCTGTAAATTAAGTTTACATGATAACCTAACAATTTGTGAAAATCACACAAATCCCAAGCTATATCCAGGGTTTTCGCTTAATAAAATCAACTCTTAAAACAAATTGGGATTTTACCTTGGTTCTTTTTTTTTTCTACTTTTTATGTACATTATTAATGTATAAATAAAGCTCCCCTGACTCTCCCCCAAATTTCCAGAACAAATGGAAACTCTTAAGAATGATCAAGCTTTACCTTATTATTAAAAATTTTTACATCTTGAATTATCAAGTTATCACAGAGGATTTCTTAGTACTTTAACCTGTTTAACACCCTAAAAGAAGTGCACATATATACTACACACAATCAGCCCAGTAAAAATGTGCCACAGCCGACAATTTGGCTGCCTGCCACAATATAGCTGCCGCTAACTTCACACTTTTCACACTTCCATTCAAGACAAGGTTCAGCCTCTGCTGCCCATTACTATCACCAGCTTGCCTTCCACTCAAAAACATTTCGACTGAGCTCATACATACATACATACATATGTGGGAGATTAGGTTACATGAGCGAACCTGCACTATTGAAAGAGATCAATGAATTATAATTCAAAGAAACATTGATAAATAAAATAAATCAATAGAAATGACAAAAATCAAACTAACAGCAGACAGTACTCTTTCAGCCTTCTGGACCTGAGCAGTGCAGTGATCTTCGATTAAGTGCTTAATTTGGACATAAAACCATGATTTTTGTCATTTCTATTGATTTATTTTATTTATCAATGTTTCTTTCTGTATTTTTCTTTTAATATTCCCACTCCAGCTGATGTATATTATTTGAATTACAAGTCTTATTAGCATGCAAAATCACCTACGGACAAGGCACACACTTTGTACCAAAATAGCTTTGCATCAAGTACATTATCTAGTACATCATTACCATCTTCAGGTATTTCTAATTTACTTGTGAAAATCACACAAATCATAAGCTATATACAGCATACAATCAGCAGCAAATTATTAGAAAGGAATGCAGTAAATTTTAATAAGAATATTACTAAGTAGTTAAATAACAAATAGCCCAGTAAAAATGTGCCCGTTGCTGGGAATTTGGTTCTCAATAAAATTAGCTAAAATAGCCAATCTTGAGTTTTACTGCTCACTCAAAATGGGCTGGCAGCTTACAATTTGGCTGCCTACAATGAAGTACCTTCCGCTAACTTCACACTTTTCAGACTGCTTTTCAGGAAGAGGTTTGGCCTCTGCTGCCTATAATTACTACAGCCAGCTTGTCTACTACTCAAAAACATTTTGACTGGGCTGTGCAAGTGTTACTAGCATATAAAAAGCACCTTCAGGTAGATTACAGCAAAGCAGACTTTGTACCAAATGCTCTGCATTAAGTACATCATTACCCTCTTCAAGTATTTCTAGTTTACTTGTGAAAATCCCACAAATCACAAGGTATATTACATTATTCATTCCAGTTGATAAAGCAATCAAGGGTAATTTTTTCATAATAGGATGCAATGATCTTCAGTATCAAGATTAGTTGGTACCTAAATAGTAAAATGTTCGAGAGAAGAAATAATCCTTAAACATTTTTTCTTTCTCATCAGCATGATTCGACTTCCAAAAATAATGGATAATGACCACCTAAAACAAAGAAGAAATAAATCAAATTTGTGATTTCACAGGCTTCAATACGAAACAAGTATGCATATATTTTATTTCCTACCACTTACAACAGAATCCTATGCGTGTATAACCATGTAGAACTATTTATTCGGTATCGAAATTACATCCCAAATGTCATGATATTTGACTGAAACTCAGCTTACCCATCTTTCGTTTAGACTTCGAAACTTGCTGCTTTTTACCACCGTTTCAATGTTTTCTTGTTGTTCAAAAGGTGGTAGTGCCATTGCAGACCGTGATTTTTTTTTACTTGAGAACCAGCAGATCACAACACCCAAGCCTTTTCACGCTAAAATATAAAAACTACTGAGATTTCCTTCGCCGCCGTAAGCCGCCATTTTATCTTTCCCTGAATACTAGTTCCCAAGCTTCAAGCCCGAAGGTCTCAACATGCACCGAAATTATGCTATTCGTTATTTCAGGACCAATTTAGAAATAACGATAATCGTTATTTTGGTGTCGAGATCATGCTCGACACAATTCCACGTACAAGGCCTCTCCCGGCCGTGAGAACTTTTGGGCTCTGGGGACGAAATGTTTTTAAACACATTTGGGCCTACTTATGGTAGCAATTCGGTGATTAAAAGAGACGTGGAAACTATATGGCGGGTATAAGTGAAATTTATACTACGAAAGCGATGTTAGATAGTCAGATGATGCACATTGGGAAACAAGGCAAGTGAACGGGCAGTATGCAGTTTACAGCTAAATTAGAGCTCAATTCCCTGAACAGTAAATGTAATGGCGAAATTTGGTAGAACCACTTATCTCAGAGAGTATGATTTTTAAAGGCTTTTAGAAAGTAAGAAGATCGACTGAAAATATCCAGAAATAGGAAAGCATTACTGGTCTAGGAAGATGATAAGCATTGTTCAATATTTTACATGACGGCAAACACTTTTTACCAGTAGTATTGCGATAGTTCATAGCATGCCCTGTCGGGGTATTTAGGAATATATATGGACGCGATTAATTTCAAAATTGTCACAATAGTCCATTTTACAGTTGTATGCTTGGTTGCCAAGCCTTTGAACAGGAGTGAGGCTAAGGGTGACCTTGTTATGATACAAACCTTGCTGCTTTTGAAATGCAAATTAATTTGTTATCATGCTAACTAGATTCTGGTCCCTAACACAACAAGGTCACCTTCAGCCTCACTCCAAATCAAAGGCTTGGCAATTAAGTACACAACTGTAAAATGGCCTATTTGATAAATTAGGAGCTGGTACCATTACCAGTCATAATCCATCAAATAATTTCTCAAGGAATTTCTTGAGGAAAACTGTGAACTTCAAGGAACAGATAATGCCCAAGGACAAATATACAAGGATATTTTTGGGCAAAATAGAGGCTATTGTGTTTATTATCCTTCCATTAATTTGAAACAGGCGCAAAAAAATGTTTACAAATAACTTACTGTTTGCTGCATCGGATTTTTCCTTTTGTGTGTTCTTTGGTACCACTTTATGAACAAACAATTATTTCCCTTCTGTAACAACCATAAAATGCTCTCTCATCATGAATTGAATTTTAAACTAAGACTTATCACACTGGACGTAAGGTTTGGAAATTGTGGAATATCACTTAGGTGACGTCCTTGGATATCCCCCAGTTTTAGCTGAGGAATGTATGGTCAGCTGATCTGTTTAGATCAATAATGAGCAAGCAAAGATATAAGATGGATCATAACTAAGGATATACCCCAATATTCCCCAATTTTCAATCATTATGTCTTCTACAGTAATTTAGTCCAAGATGACAGATCATTTCACTATTTTTACAGAGGAATGGACATGTTTATTTGTTAATTCATACCAGAGATCAATGAAAGGTAAACATCCCATGCAGAAAACAGTAAACTGTTTATTAACATCTTCCCCCTGCATTGGAGAAAATATTTGAAGGATAGTAAACCATAACCCCCATGTAGCACAAGAATATTTGTCCTAGGCCATTATTTGTTCCTTGAAGCTCACAGTTTTCTCAAGCTTTGCTCTTCAAAAACTGTCTTCATCTTGGAGCAAAATAATGTCTGTAGACAAACATCCATTTATATTTTATTGCCAAATGGAGGCTGTTACTGTTTTTCAATGTTTTTATTGTCATTATAGTGGTGAGAAACCTCAAATGAAGTAAGCTTACAAAAATTATTAAATTAATTGCCTCTTCCTCTGTTTTAAATTGCTGTTTTGCTGCAAAACTAAATTGCCATCTCTTTAATTAATTGTCTCATGATGATGGTCTAGGAATAATATTGTGAAATCTTGAAGGACTGTATGTGACGGCTTCTGTTTGGAAATGTATAGTGTTATTTTTCAGTTGACATGGGTACTTTGGAGTTGAGCAACCAAGACACAGAGTACAAATTAAGGAGAGGTATGTCAGCTTCTAAGGGTTAGCTCATTGTTTTTGGATATTATGCAATCAAAGGTTCTAAAGCAGAATAAGAAACCAAGAAATTTGTTTCTTGAAGTGAGATTCCTCTCTATAACTTCATGTCTCAATTTGATTCATAATTCTGCAATTTCTAATGTTAAAAAGCCAAGTTAATGCACTTTGATACGGTAAATGTGTCACACTGCATGATTTTATTGACTTGATTCAAGGGGGGACAGGGGCAATAATAAAGGAAAACAGATTTTTACTGGCTCAAGTAGTGGTGTGGAGTTCTAATTCATTAAAAGCTGAGTACAAGGAGAACTCAGAGTGAAGAAGCAACATGCAGATACAGCATATAAATGAAAAGGAAACATCTTGCATGATTTTTCTATGTCCCCTTGACTATGGTAGTTTCCAATTTCTACATGGCATGACTGTGATAGAAAAGAGCTTTCAAATGTATTGGAAAATTGAGTATGATGAAAACCTTGAAAACTTTGAGACACCTCTCTTTTCATGAACTGTCAGTAAAAAAGTCAGAGTTGGCTTTTGGACTGGTGGCTTTGGAAGGAGATTAAAGGTGTCACTGAAAGTGCTGTAGCTTATACACCAGCTTCTTACTTGGATAACTTACATGTGTGTAGCATAAATGCATTATTGACCAAGGGTGAGGTCAAGATGTTTCGGTATTGGCCAAGTTCTTTTTATGCGTTTTACAAACCTCAACTTCTTCTCAGCTATTAAAACAGTAAAAAAAGCATGAGGCTTTTATGCAGTCATTTTGACTGAACAAGCTCAGTCAATAAAGGCTTTATAGCTAAAAGATCATTGCTTCATTAAGAATCAAGCCTTGTTTATTTTGAAGGATGCAAAGAAAAGCCAACTGGTTTTGCTGCACAATAAACCCATTGGAGTTGTTTATGAGTCCTTTGTCTTGACTGTCCTTTACCAATTTCTCCAAATCTATTGTCAACATTTTTTAAGAATTACAAACTTTGCGTGTCTGCTCCAAGTAAGTTTTTGTTTCTTGCGGGTGATCAAAGCAAGCACTCCTGATTGGGCAAGATAAGCCCATTGGTTGGCCAATAAAAAAGCAGTGGCTAAATGTTAAGGCAGCACCAGGATGCAGCCTAGGGATTGGCCCATTAGAGGGTAGATCACTGGCACTGGCTTGTTGAGTTGCAGCTTCATAATAGTTTATTAAATCTGACATTTTATTAGCAAAATGTCAACTAAATTTCTTTTTTTTCTGTTGCTGGAACTCTTTTTATGGAGTAAACGTATCATTAAGGAGAACCTTTGTTTATAAATGCCTTGTATACTGAGGGAACTGATACCCTCTCTAGTGTAAGACATTTTGTAATTAGCTAATATGACACAGGTTGGCATGCATAGAAGTTTACATTTTGAATAAGAAGACAAATATACATAACAATATCAAACATAATACAAACGAACAGGAATTTTCAAGTTAAATCTAGATACAGCCTTACCTGTACTTTTTTACAGGTATGTGGATGTTGTTCCTATCTGCAATGAACCATTCATTCTGCTAATTTGCTGAATTTAATTCCAAAGCTAATCTGAAATAGATTTACCAAGAGTGGGCACACATGTGCACAGATTCTTCTTGATATTGATTTATATTTGTATTAGTTTACAAGACTTAAAAGATTTTTAAACTATAAGAAATGAAATGAGGTAGAGCTGAGAAGATAGCCTAACTGGCCTTAATATGTCCCTTGCATTGATTAGCCATGGACGTTTGCATGCAGTTTTTTGAAACTGAGATTGATTAGAAATATATGTATTTTTAGTAGAATTTCAGTCCAAACCTGAACTTTTTTAGCAGCGCGTTATAAATTTCCAATTAAAACTTATGTCATGTAAGGTGAGCGCACACAACGCTACACGATCTCACAAAGAGCACAAATTGTGAATCAAATAAGTCCTGATTCTGCTCTAAGCTTTCATAAGTGAAACGATTGTCCAAGCACCAAAAGTTTTTTTAAACCATAATTTAAAAGACAGTTCATAGCCTAGAAAAAAATTATTTACGTGCCTCCACTTTCTCCATTTTTAAGGCTTCATTTTAAATTCAGAGTCGGAACTACTTTGCATTTACCTTTCTTCAGCCGTAAATGTAACGCATTTGAAATTCTGAAGGTGTTGAACTCTTGTGAATTTTCATGATCACTCATGGTAGCGTGTTAGTTTATGTAACCGTGTAAGTTGATAGGGGTCTGCCTGAGAAAGATGTCATCAAAGATGGCAAACGAAATACTTAAGTGTAGTGCAACTACTGTCTCCGTTTATCTAGCTTTCATGACGCAATTCTGCAGTAGCAGTTCTGTAGTAGTCCTATGTTCTGGCGATAACCTCGGCGAGTAACTCCTGAAGTGCTGCTGGAGCTAAGTTCCTCCAGAGTGATGTCGCCAAGAAATTCTACCCCGATTGTCTTTGGACTTTCTCCTCTGGAAAGCGTGTACCAGAGGTTTGAATAATAGCTATTTGTTGGTGGGGTTTTCCCTTTTATCAACGGTTTTTTCGTTGAGTTGGTAGTTTATTGTATGTAAATGCTTTGTCTCTTGTGTTTTCTTTGATGGGTGGGTCAAAAAAGAGGCAAAGAAGAGTTCGGGGTTCGTCCTTCATCTTCATTGACGGACATCAACTTCATCGAGTTGTGGTAATTCAGGGTGAGCAGATACAACTGCAGCCCCTGTGAGGCTGATTTTAGGTCTTTATTCAGGTAGTTTCTAACTCCCTGGGATGTTCCGGAAAAAATGAATTAAGTGTCTTAGATTCTTCTATTTACACGGGTTAGGGTGAATTTTCTTCCCATTTCAAATTTTTTGTCGAGAAGTCAATTAAACAATGCGAAAAATTTCTGTCTAATATTTGTCAGCCGTCTGACAAATCAAAAGATGGCAACTGCCCTAACAGAGGTTACTTTTGGATATCCTAATCTTTTGAACAAAAGACATGACCCGCGGCGCGACCAGTTAAATTCACTTTGCTTAAATCTCGTATCGAGTTTATTATACCTCACCTGCATCCGCGTACAGATACTGCATGCTACTGTGTAATGTGCTTGCTATGTATATCATTCAGTTACAGAAAAGTTCCTTGAAAACATTCACATGATGTTAAATGAACCGTCCGTTGGGCTTTACAGAGTACAAGAGCATGTTAGAAGATCGTTGCCGCAGCTTGTTGATAAGAAGGTGTGTGTACAACTATTACGTAACTCAATGCGTGTCTTTGTTAGAATGGTGTATCGTGGGAATTGTAATTGCCATGAATGCTTTCCTTAATGTTACAGTGTCAGTGTGTACAATACAATATAGTCGCTATATTGAATTACAATTTCTTTCATTGCATAGATTGAGATGCAAAGCCTACAAAGGAAAGTGCAAGGAATATCTTATGATACTGACTATTCACTCAAGTATGTCCTTATGTTGAAGGTTTTCATAATGTCACGGTATAGTTTAACCGACAGAAAGAACACTTCAATCCTACCTACTCAAATACGTAATTAAACAACTTGTAATATAAGGAGCGAATTCTAAAAGCAGTACACTAATTATACTCAATAACGTCACTTACCGTATTTATTCGATTAAACGCCGCGGCGTTAATTAAATTTTTCGTGATTCGAGTGCGGCGTTTATTCGAGGGCGGCGTTTATTTAAAATCCGAATCATTATTTGCAAACAATAGTAAGGTAACTGGCCATCTTAATTTTGAAAAACAGAAAAATGTTTTAGTTCTTATCATAAAAGTCATTTTTATACTGATCTCAATTTCACAATTCGCTTATTTATACTACGGCAATACATAAAGTGAATAAAGACTTAATGTCGGATATGCTTTCTCGACATCAGAACTGGTACATTCAAAAGGATTTGTGTCTGGTTCACTCAAAATTTCTTACTGCAATCGAAGCAATGATCGCTGTGTGCTATATGAGTCTACTATTCGAATAAACGCCGCACAGGGTCATTATAAATAACTTGAGAGGAACAGAAACGCGCAATTTGGAGTTAGCAGACTTAAAATTTAAGCTTTTTGAACCGGTTATCAGATTTGTATTGATCAGAATTATGATTTAACTGAGGATTTGTGGCACGCGCAGCATAGTCCCATACCTTGATAAAAGTCCGTCCTTCTTGTAATATGAATGTCATCAAGAGGTATGGTAACTCTTAGCTCGTATGTTTGTCACTAAAATTTGACGCTCCTATCGATTGCGCTACATGTTGGGGAGTGGACAATTTAATGATAATTATTATACGTTCAACTCGCTGTCTCTTTTCTGATCGGCCGAAAGTGTACAATGAATTTTCGAAATTAGCCCCCGGCTGGGACGTCATCCTTCTGCAGATTACACAATAATAATGTCAAGGATACTCAAGATCTCGGTTAGTCATGTCATGTACGACCGCGGTGCATGATTTTTAAGGGTAATCATGTCAAGTTTGCGCGCTTTTTGTTGCTCGCCGATTTGTATATTTTTACACGTTTGGAAACAAATTATCAGTATCACTTACTGTCGTGACCATTTTTTTTTCGTTCAAGGTATGACAAAACTATTACTAGATTCGGTGTAAGAATAGAATAATCTAAAAACTAAAATGGCCCAATCATTATAGATACGATAAGACTAAAATACTATTTAAAATTAACAGACATTAGGGAAACGCTAATTTAAAATAATGGGTCTTAAGCAAACATTTGAAATTGACCGGCAACAGTAGTGTTGGAAGTGAGTTCCAAACTTTGGAGCAGCCATGCTAAAAGAGCGATCGCCAAGTGTAGCATAGGACTTACGTAATGGATTATTTGAGGAAATTTAATTGGGGGATCGCAAAGAATAACTTGTGCCATGATTAATAGAGATAAAATCAGTTATGTAGGACGGTGCCAAACCAAATATAGCTTTCTATGTTAAAGTGCTATTTTCAAACTTATCGTTAAGCGAGTGGGTAGCCAATGAAGCTTTATAAGCAGCGGGGTAATGTGACCATATATCACATGTTGGCAAAAGTTTATTTTGGAGGGGTAGTGTGGGAAACTTACTATTCTCCCAAGCCCAAGTCCCCATTCAAAATAGTACAAGAGATATCATGCGTCAGAGATAGTTTACAGATCGCACGAACACCGGCACCATTTTCGTTTGCTGGCGACTAATACTTCCACATTGAATATCGCAAGAAGGAATGTATCTTTCCAAGGTAGTAACACCATGCAAAGGTATTGACAAGGATTTACATGTTATAAGGGCAAAGAAAACTGAAAGAAACCACCAAGCGAATCAAAAAGTGAACAAAAACACAAGGCGGATACTCTCAGTAATGAAATGAAAGTCAGAAAGAACTTAAAATAACTAAATAAGGTAAAATATATATGAGGCCAAACAACACGAAATAAATAAAAACACGATGGTCCGAGAGACAAAAATATTCACAGCACATACAAAAGAAACGCTAAGTCAGAAACCCAATTAAAGATTAAAGTGAAAAAATTGATATATAAAACTTGAAGCATCAAAGAAAGTCACACAAAGCATGAGCACTGCCATTATATCATATAGAGATAATCGAATTCCCATGATACTTTTTTCCCTTAAAAACGTGTATCAAGTATATCATGGTTCGTTCGTGCATGAGGCTAGTGTTACGATCAATTTGCTCCATTTCTGGTTATATAGCTATGTGTGTGAACTACTTAGCTAAAAAGGGTATCAAAATATGAAGGCTTAACATGTGTTTAGAAAAAATTCCTTATGGTTGAGTTAGAAAGGTGTTTTAAGTATTACATTTGTCGTTTGTCTCGTAGGACTGTGCAGTCTATGCAAAACATTTCCCACTTCACAATCATACAGGTATGAATATCCCACTGACAGTACCAACATTTATGAATATCAATACGCATTAACTCTCTTGTTGTTGCTGTTCCAAATATCATTATTTTCCATCGCCTGAAAAGATTAAGTCTTGTCATAAACATAAGTGATGTATTCTTAAAGTCCCTTGTTTCAAAAAGTTGTGCAAGAGATTTGTTTTCAATTACTGCTATGATGTTCGTCGTCTCAAGCATCGACATTGTTAATTGATATATCCTGTCTCAAGAGGTGGTTGGCACAAGGCGTTGAAAAAATATTCAAAATCATATTCGAATAACATAGCAGAGGAAGCCTATCTCTGAACAATATTGTACTGCATTTGAAAATTCAGTAGGTACAGAGTAACTGAAGTAAACTACGTATTCCCTATTTCAAATTGTGGTAAATAGGGTTTTTCAAGAATTTTGGAGAGTACTGGAGTGACTTATTCATCCTATCCTATCCTTGCTGTACCGTCATAAAATCGTATATGATTAAATGAACTTCTATGTTTTGCATTTCCAGGAGTGCCTTAAGAGTGCCATTGCTTCGAAAAAGAACCTAGACTTCAAAAAAGTAGAGAGGTAGAGCACAATTTGATGAATTCCTTCTATGTATCTGTGGAGTTATTGAAGGCTCATCAAGGCGAATGTCGTGGATGTGTACGGTATTCTGTATTTAGCGTTTTCTCCTTTTTCTTTTAAGTTACCACCGGCTGCTCTATTTCAGAAAATTATTTATTGTTGCTCCAATGCCATGGCTTGTACTCTTCACGTTCTTCAAAATAAATGCTTCTAAGAATACTGATTTTAAAGAATCAGTAGCTTTTAATCACGCTGAAATGGGCTGATGACTGAGTGCAAGTGGACCTAAAATGTACACATCTAGAGATGACTAATTCCATATGTCTGTCATTTCATAACTGCTTTATAAAAATACCATCAAACGATTTTCCCGGTTAATTCCTATCAGAACCTATCGTAAGGTATAGCAGTCCCTTTTTTTTCTTAACTTTCCAAGATTTTTGTTTTTTGCTGGCCGGGCTACGATGGAATAGACAAACTGCTGAAACTGTAGTTAGGTGCTTGAAATGGTGCTTTTGTTTCCCTGACATCGAAATGTTTCCTCAGACTCTCGTTTAACGAGACACATTTTCAATGTCCTAAACAGGAAAGACCAACACCCTGATGCCACAGCGGATTCCGATGATGAACCAGAGGTTCTTGAATCTGTCCAGGTGGGAATTGTTGGTAATATTCTTCTTAAATAAGTTGTTCTTCCAAAGGCTTAGAAAAACGGCCAGTCAACCGATAGCATCGACAATTTTGGTTCGTCTGTCAGGTTGAATGGTTGAGTGTGTCACAAAGACGAAGTTTACATGCAAGGAGAAGGACCCATTTCGCTAAAGCTAGCGTTATTCTGCTGTCTCCGGTGTAACCTCAAGATGGAGTCTGAGTAACTGCGGAGATAATATTGTTTTGTTTTGTTTTGTTTGTTTGTTTGTTTGTTTGTTTTTTATAATGGAATAAAATCAGGTATTATGAGTGGTCCTGCAGATCCGTGGTCCTCTCAGTGATGAACAATAAAAATATATTGCGGTGGAAGAATTGCTCCCACATCAGTGCTGCCCAATCTTTTACAATTCATCACATTCAAGTTATCTTTTCAAGCCTCCGAATAACCTCTCATTGACTCTGCTACACGGGCGAGCAAGAATGAAATCAAATATTGGCAACATACTAATGATCATATTTGACAAACCGCAAGGGCTGCAGCTAAGTAGAAACCCTGCTAAATCTCAGGAATTCTTTATTTCACTTCTGAAGCTTCAGACAAACAAAGACATGTAGCGCTCGTGAGAACTGACTTTGTTCAGAAGAGTATCGATTAGTGAGGCATTCGGCGTATTGCCTCCTTTTCATTCTGCCTCGAACAACGACGCACCAGAAAGGATATTAAGAACGAAAGAGTGATTATAGGTAAAAAGGTCGTCTCTATTAAATGGAAAAACATACGAGAGGAGCTAAAAAGAACAGGTCTGCACCAGGACTACGGTGGACTGTGCGTGAGTGACAGAGACTTCGATTAGAGCCTACCAAGGTGAACATGGATTCCGAGACTTGACGGAAATACAACCTAAATTTGAATTTGAATTTTGTCAGATGGCCTCAAGACACCGTTTCCTGAACCAAACGAAAACTGTGCCTTGGAAAATGTGGGAATTTTTTCTGAACCCTTGAAAACAATATCTTCCGGGGATACAAGTGCCCAGTAACCAATAGCTATTCGCGCTTTTTACGCTGTTCCATCGGTGCGCACTCCACGAAGCATGCCCGCTACGCCCATAATGCTAACTAATGGAATATATTTCTCTCGTTAGGGGTTCATCTGCCCAAATTGTATGGAGGCGTGGAGAAACGAAGAGGAGCTCCTCCAGCATTGGCAGTCAGCACATGGCAACCTCTCCGATGTAGTGGGATTTTGCTCATTTGTACGTTTCATTAAGTATTAACGAATAGATCCTATGGGACCTTTCTATCTATAGTGCTTTTAGATAATTGGACATGTATAATATTGGTGAAAGACATTAATCCTTAACAATCCTTGATTAACAATCGAGGTTTGCATGAAATATTAGCAATCTTGTCTAAGTGGTGGGAAGAAGTAAGGTGTGATTAAAAATTGCCCGTTCAATGTAAAGTAGGTCTCAAACAGAAAAAAATCGTTTGAAAATAAAACGTACGAGCTTTATTCTCATTAATGATTAATTAAAAGTGTAAAGCAAAACATATTCGTCAAACCACAGTTATGTTCCAAAAGGTTACCAAGTATTACATTTAGATTTCATGGCAAACAAAATTACTGTGATGCGTTAATGATATTCGAAAGCATTACGTATAAGATCATTTATCTCTTGGTTTTCAATAAGTACATGTCTATTTCTCATTCGACTTTTATGTTTTTCAGGGAAACTCCAAGGAATGAAACGGCACCTTCACAGTCCAAGTTTACCTTTGAAATCGAACAAGAACGATGGAAGGAGAAATGGAAGCATCACAGATTTTGCTACCCTCTGAGACTGCGGAACGTTGCACGGAGGAAAGCCCTTTGAAAATAATTGGCATTCATGCTAACCACACATCCGTGATACCTCCAAACCCGCAGCTAGCCGCCACAATGCAGATTTACTCGTGAAACCAGGATCTGTTAAATTCTCTCATTTGTTCGTTAACAATCTTCTCTCTTATTTTCTCATCTTTTTTTCCTTTGGGGATAAACGATCACATCAAGAATAATCATTTCTGTAGTAGCGATGATCACTCGGTGAGGCTAAACTCATCCACGGTAATAGAAGCGGTTGATACATTTTCCATCGTTGCTGCTAATGTAGATCATCTGTAGAACAGACAATTTGATGTCGCATGTAACGAAAAAAAAAATAAAATGCAATAGGGTACTCTAGCAAAACTTGTAATCCAAGTACTTTTGTTAACGATGGCCCACGTGCAGTTCACGACTGTTGCAGACAACTAGTTCGCTTCCGCTTGTTCATTTGAGCCATGAGAAACATTTTTTAATTTGCAGAACTGTTCGGTGGATAATGCTGAAAGTTAAACCCTTTGAGGAAATCCAGATTAGTTCATATTCCTAATTTCTAAAAGTTTTTTTAAGTCAAAAGAAGTATTCCGGAGTCCAAGTACAGCTACAATGGTCCTCTACTTGGATGGATGACCGAAGAAAGTCCCTCTTTTTTACTAAATTAATTCAAAATGTAGTTTTAAGTCCTTTTACCCCACTGAGTGCGGCTGGCCGTGACCTCCTCGAGATCTAGAAAGCTTCATTTCAAGTCTGCAAATAAAGTTGTTCTATAACTTGTTTTTCCATTCACATTAATTATTTCCCTTTATCTTAAATCAACGAAAAATTTCGAAACTTATCCAAATGAAAGTAAAATCTGTATTTAACTATAGTTGAAAACCGCCCAGGAGGGTTTTCGTTTAACTCAGAAAATATTACAACCGCATTTCTCTTTGGCATCAAATCCATGTCATTTAAGAATTTTTTAATTTTATAATTAACGTGATTCGTCCAGTTATATCACAAATAAAGACGTATTAACATTTTTTAATTTAACAAACTCCAGATTTTAAACGAACATGATCAAATCCGTGTTATTCGATACCCTTATTCAAATCCATGTTATTTAGAATGCGTAAACGACGACCTTACGGTCGTAATGGGCGTTTAAACACGCCAGAATCAGTTTGTTCTTCTGGTTGCCGTCCGCGGCTCAAAAACGTAGGTCAGGTTTTGAATCAACTGATGCAACACCTTTCCTCTTTCCCATCAGTTTTGCTTGACGACCATTTTTAAGGTTCATAAGGCCATGTGATTGAGTCAATTGAAAGGGAGTCTTTGGTAAATACAGCAGTTCAAATAACCATCATAGAAGTTGTGTAATGAAAGGCTAAAATTAACATTGACTGACTGTACGACAGCAAATTGTTTGAAACCAGGGTTCGCCGAATGAATATGAATCACACCAAAAGTGAAGACACTAATCAAGGTTAAGGCTTGCAATTCCCATACAGGTTTGACATGAATTTAAAATTATTTTTTTTTCACTTTACTCTAGTTAAATATAAGAAAAATGTACGTGATTTTGACTATTTCATAAAGTTTGAATCAAACTAAAATGCAGTGCTGTGTATTCATAATAATGTGGGGGAATATGATAATGAAAATATAGACAATAACAATTTGATGGTTGCATGTGTAGGGATAATTACTGATGCGAGAAAAAATCTTTCTGAGTTAATGTTTCCTCACAGTTATATAGCGGTAACTTCATTTTCATACCAGACGATTTTGAAAAATTGCGGCTCATTTTAACAACCTAATGGACTGTCAATTAAAATCAAGTCACTCCCGGCAGTCCAACTTCTAAGGATTGAGTAGGACACCATATTCACATAATTACTTTGAATTATCCTCGATATCTTGGAGTCTTTCTTAGAGCTATCTTCATTCAAAAGACCATCAGGCGTCATGAGCTGAAAGTAGGATCGAGAGGCTACTCATCGGCTCCTGACCATAGATCATTAGGCCAGTTGCTTTGTAAAATACAAACCATAACGTCAGTTTTCCGTGCAAAAAAGGGAAAATTAATTTTGAAATTGAAATAAGTCTTATGTTACGCAAACTGACAAAATATTTTGCAGAAGGACCTCGTAATATACGCGACACAATATTCTTAAAAGTTATGAGTGGTTCTTTTACTTCTGTAAATCTTAAAAAAATTATTTAAAAATAACAATCTACCTAGTTTAATAGTGTTTTTTCGTCGATGTATTATTTCTTGCGATTTCTTGGGAAATTTCGGGTTTAGAACACAGCAGAAGGATCCTCTGAGTAAATTAGTTTACGTCGCACATCATCATAAGATTAGGGTTAACACATTTTTTAATTTCAAGTGATTACACTTAAAGTAATATTAATAGGAACACTTTCTAAAGGAACAATAAAAAAGTATTTTGGATTAACATGATTTTTTTAATATTTAACCTGACTTGTAGTGGTCTTTTAGTGGTCTGAATAAAAATGTCGTGGATCGTTAGACTTTTGAGCTGAGTCGACATTAGAAGTTGCATATTTGCAGTGCAGGGAAAGTAGGTATCATACTGAAAAAATATTGTTCAGTGTCCAAATAGTTAAAAAAGGAAAACTCACGTGATTTGCTTTCATAAGGGATCGATCTAAATATGCCAAGCAAAAATTCCTTCAAGAAGAGTCATTATGTCGGTTCCAAATAAACCCGTGAAGTGAGGGATAAATGACAGTAAATATATGAAAATCAGATAAGTGACCTACTCCCAGTTGGCTTGTATGCACAGTTGGCAGAGCACTGCACCGGTATCGCAAAGGTCATGGGTTCAAATTCCATACGGGCCTGAAACTTTTCCAGGCCTTATTTTCAGTGCTGCTGAAGTAGTGTTCGTTACTCGGCGAGGATCGCCTCCATATTAGCTAGTTTGTCCGATTTTATGATTTTCATATATTTACAGTCATTTATCGCTCTTAAGTTGTCAGGCTTAAAATTTACCGTCTTCATTAAGATAATCAATGGGAATACAAATTACTTGTCCACATTTTTATCCTCGCAGTTGCCAGAATGTTTGTTACCATGGACTTTGTTCAAAAGCCAAGGTTGCCTCGAGTCTCTGTATATACTCATGGTAGAACGTTCAAACTACGAAGGGAAGGACGTAGGTTTGAAAACTATTGGGAGATTGGGGGCACGTGCATTATTCTTTTCTCCGACTGTGCTTGAATGTTTTTTTACTGAAAATAACATCTTCCCTTACCTAAATCACCAAGCTTAAAACTGACCGACCTCATTAACATCGTCATTTTGCATAAGCATGAAATATCGAAATTCGTAGCATCCCAGTATCCAGAAAGTTTGTCATCATAGACTTAGTGGAATGGCCTAGCTTGCCACTACTTTCCTCTAACTCAGTGGTAGAGCGTCGAAAATACTAATGGAGCACTTAGATGCTTCTTTTTTCTCCGAGTCTGCCTGTGTCACTCACTGAGTAACTTCATCCTGGGCTTAAATGACCAGTCTTCAAATTTTCCATCTTTATGTTCATCGTCATTTTGCATCAGCAAAACACATCGACATTTCTATCCTCTCCGTATCCAAAACGTTTCTCTCCATAAACCTAGTTTAACAGCCAACGTTCCCACGAGTGTGGTATAGCTAAGTGATAGAGCATCCCATCTCCGACTAGGCCTGTGTACTGAATGACCTTTTTCTTTACTTAAATGACCACGCAGGTTTAAATTTTCCATCTTCATTTTCATCATCATCGGCATAAGCGACACATATCGACAATCCCATACTTACAGTAAGCCCAAAGTTTGCCACTTCGGACTTTGTGTCATGGCCTAGCTTGCCACGACACGAGTCTCCTATAGCTCAGGGGTAGAGCGTCCAAAGCTCTAGTTGGAAGTTTGTTGGTTCGAAACCCGTTGCAAGTGTTTTCATTTTTCTTTTTCTCGGGGTATACCTGTGTCATTCACTGAATAACATCTTCCTTCACGTAAAAAAGGTTGTGCTCGTTCATCGCGGTAAACTACGATAATAATAAAACATTATCATTTGTCTCACAATGTGGTCACTCATGATGTGAATCGCGACATTTCGACTGCATATTGTCGACCGTCTGGCCAGGAAGTTGTTCGAGAGGCTGCTGGCATTGAAACGAAGTGGACATCTATCAGAGGCCGTTTACAACAACATCAGACCTCGACACAAAAAGCTGCCCAGAATCTACGGTTTACCGAAGATCCACAAGGTCGACGTTCCGTTAAGACCTATTGTGTCATGCGTTAACACCTTCGCTATGACCTGTCCGCCTACCTAGCTAACATCTTGTCTCTTTTAACACGTAACTCGGATTTCACGGTGACAATTCAGCTCACTTCGCGTCAATCATCAGCAGTGAGATGATCCTAGACGACGAGATCATGGTGACTTTCGACGCAAAGACATTGTTTAACAATACTTTACACTAACATCAGAGCTAGTAAGAGCGAAAGACGCTGCTAAGCCGGCTAAACAAGACGGCGTAGTTTACAGGATTCCCTGTAGATGCGGCAGAGTTTACATCGGCGAGAATGAAAGACCAATGCAAGACAGAATAAGACCGAAACATCCGATTAGCCCGTGCCCAAACCTCCGCCGTTTCAGAGCACGCCCACAACACCGAACACCAACTGTTTTGGAATGAGGTTAAGTTTATTGATCTTGATCCCCACTAGCACACTCGCAAGGTCAAAGAGGCAATTTACTTAAGAATTCACCCTAACAACATCAACGGGGACAGTGGAATAGAAATTCCTAAAGCGTGGATACCCACGATCAAAAAACACAACAACCGGAGGGCCGTATGACAGCGGACCACCGAGGGAACAACACACTAACATCGAAACGCGCTAATCAGAGCTGTGAAGAAACCAACCAATTACAGCGGAGCATCCTGCTTTATAACAATACCCGAAACCAGTCGACTTTATGAAGACCAGCTGTATGTAGTCGAAACGTCGCGATTCACATCATAAGTGACCACATCATTAGACAAACGATACTACTTCACTATTATCTTCCTTCACACAAACACCATGCTTAAAATTTAATCCTCTTTCATGACATCCCTACTATCGCAGTATGCAGGAAATTGGTCACGGACGTAGTTTAAGGGCCTAGCTTTCCACGAGTCTCTCAGCTCAGTGGTTGAGCGTCCGAAGTAGTAGTCAGAACTGGTCAAAAATTCAACTCACTTTAGGAGCAATTGGATTTTTCTAGTGGCTCCAAGTTTGTCTTTGTCATTCCCTCAGTTGATAACCAGGCTTACCAATTACCACCTTTATTTACATCATCATTGCGCATAAGTATCACATATCGACATCCCTTTTCTTGCCTAATGCAGAACGTTTGTCACCATGGAACTAGTTGAAAGGCATGGCTTGCCACACGTCTCCTATAGCTAAGTGGTAGAGCGTCTCAAGTACTGACCGGAAGTTTGATCGGAAGTTTGAAAGTTCGACTCCTGTTTAGAGCACCTGGATTTTTTGTTTCTCCGGGACTGCCTTGATATAGTAGTAATAATAATAATTATAATAATAGTTTCTTTATTTTTACGGCGCTATTTCCTTTGGCTCGATAGCGTTTTACAGTGATTACGATCAAAAATTTAAAAAAAATC